CTGCAAAGGAAGCATCTTTTTGTGTTACAAATTGATGTCAAAATTCCTGGACTTTGAGGATTTCCCAGTAGCCACGTGGCCATAAGGAGGTACCAGCATGCAAAAGATACTCCTCTATACCATGTGAACTAAGAACAAAAACAACAAAACGGCAAGCCTATGATGAACATTTTAATTCCCCCCCCCTCCTGTATGGTTTTGAACACCTTGCCTGATGTAGAAGCCAGTGAAGCTTCAAAAGTTTGCAACATGTATTTTGTGCATTTTGGTTGGTCTAATAAAGGTATCACCATTTGGTGGATTTTTAATATTATTGCAAAAAGCGATACTGCTAAATGGCCTTTGTGGTCTCTTCAAACTCTATGATACTTGGAAAATGTTGCATTATCAGTGAAAATGTTGCATTATCGGTGATACCTCTCTGATTCAGAGTTTCCTGGGCCAACTCAAGTCAGTAATGCTTGGTAGATGGTGCACCTGAGATGATGACAGGATGACCAGATGTCCTCCTTTTCCAGGGCATGTCCTATGTTTCAACCTCCTGTCTAGGAGGAATTCCAAAATGTCCTCCATTTTGTGCATGACTTAGAAGCATGAATTTATATCCATGTGAGTGTTTTTAGCTTTTATTTTGCAACGTCCCACATTTTTTCTTCCATGTCCCAAATTTTGCGGTGGCTTGTCCTCCTTTGTGGTTATGACATCTGGTCATCCTAAATGACGATGATGATGGTGGTGATGATGATGGCAACAAGACTAGCAAGATGTCCAGGTTGACATCACTTTATAACCTTTCTGTGGCCCTTGAAAAACAAAGGTGACATCCCATGATTGCCATGCAATTGTTTTCTTGGAGAAAGCAAACAGCAATGTGATAAGATGGTATACACACCCATTTAAAATGTCAATAAGTTGCTAAATAAATTTGCTGGACACACAAGAACTGCAAGGTTTGGGCTAATCCTCTAATTACTTGGACACAATAAAACCTTCTATGGACTGTGTGATAAGAGAGGACGGCTTCATTTTGCCTGCATCCGCACCGCAGAAATAATCCAGGCTGAAACCACTTTATAACTTTTTTGGTGAGATATTTAGCCTTCGCTGTCAGAGAGCTTTGGTGCCCCACCAAACTACAAATCCCAGAATTCCATAGCGTGGAGCCATGGCAGTTAAAAGTGGTGTCAAACTGCATTGATTCTTCAGTCTGGCGGTAGCAAGAGGACTTTTTTGTTGGCCGCCCTGAGACTCTGGAATAACCTGCCTGGAGAGACTGGACATGCTGTCTAAATTTAATTTAAAAGAGTAATAAAGACCTATATTTTCTGGCTGACCTACCCAGTCTGTTTTAAACTATGGTATTAATTTTAAATTAATATATTTTTAATGTTATGTCTGGGTGATTGTAAGGCGTAATGGTCATCTTAATCCTATGTTTATGCATCTTTACCTATCTGCTTAATTCGTTTAATTTGTTCAATTGTATTTTAATCTATGTTGTACCCTGCCTTGAGCCTTGGGGAGAGGAGGGTAAGAAATTAAAATTTATTATTGGTTGAGCCTCCCATATTCAGAATTCTGAAATATTCCAAAAACCACTGATTGTGTACTCCCTTCAAGATGATTTCACCCTATGAGACCCTTTGAATTAGAGACCCACAAGTCACCCTATTATCTTCAACTGCTATGCTCAGGTCTTGCAAACTCAGGGCTCTGGCTTCTCTGAGTTTATCCATCTGGAATGTGGCCTTCCTCTTTTCCTATTGTTATTGTTATTATTAAACTCCCTTCAAGTCAATGTCACCCTATGGGACCCTACGAATGAGAAACCCACAAGTCACCCTATCTTCAACTGCTATGCTGTGGTCTTGCAGATTCAGGGCTGTGGCTTCTCTGATTGAGTTTATCCATCTGGAATGTGGCCTTCCTCTTTTCCTATTATTATTATTATTATTATTATTATTATTATTTAATTCCCTACAAGTCAATTTTGCCCTATGGGGACCCTATGAATGAGAGACCCACAAGTCACCCTATCTTCAACTGCTATGCTCAGGTCTTGCAAACTCAGAGCTGTGGCTTCTCTGATTGAGTTTATCTATCTGAAATGTGGCCTTCTTCTTTTCCTATTATTATTATTGTTATTATCTGTTAACTGCCTTCAAGTCGATTTCGACCTATGGAGATCCTATGAATGAGAGGCCCACAAGTCACCCTGTCCTCAACCACTCTGCTCAGGTCTTGCAAAATCAGGGCTCTGGCTTCTCTAATTGAATGTATCTTTCTGGAATGTGGCTTTCCTCCTTTCCTATCATCATTACCATCATCACAATAGTTTGAATGCTGGACTATGGCTGGAGACCAGGTTCGATTCCCTGCTTGGCCATAAAACCCACTGGATAGCCTTGGTCAGGTCACACTCTCTCAGCCTCAGAGGAAGGCAGTGACAGACCTCCTCTGAACAAACCTTGCCAAGAAAATCCTGTGATACCTTTGCCTTAGGGTCGCCATAAGTTGGAAACGACTTGAAGGCACACAACAAATTTTTTTATTATGACACACGCTGTGAGGGATTTACCCATTTCCATCACAGCTGTCCAAAGGGAGGCCTAAACTTAGTCTCAGACTATTTTTATTTATTTTGAGCAGATGGGAAGCAACTCTTGGGCTGGATTATGGTGTATAGTTAGCAACTGTGAGGATGTGTTATGTGTGCGAGAGAGTGTGCATGTGTGTGAATGTGTGTGTCATCAATCAATTTATTACAGTCATAGACCAGCAAATAAATCAGTTTTACCATAAAATAAATAAAATATGAAATATGAAATACGTATGTAAGAAAGAATAGGATAGATGAAATAACTTGTAACTGTATATGTTTTGATTTACCACACTTTGGTGGAAAGGGCATTATAAACATAAATTATTATGCTATTATTTATTTATTTATTATAATAAATATAAAGTTATTTTATTTATTAATATATTTAATATTAAACATTATTATTATTATTATTAATCTCTATTTTTATTGCTGATTTATTGTCTGTCTGCAAGTCACAATGGCATATTATCATTTACTATTATTATAAATATAAATTA